AACCGGTTCGCGGCAGTCCCTGCGAACCGGTTGGTCGGCGAACCCAGAAGTAAGTAACTTCCAGGAACGGCGAAGGGCGCACCTGCCTGCGCTCCTTACCCGGTTTTGACGAGTTCTGCGCTTCCACGCATGCGCAGGACGCATACCGCGCCTGCGCAATCCTCCAGGAGCAGCTGGAGCATCGCACAGACGCTAGTACGCATGCGTGCGCCGCGCACGTGGATGCCGCTGGCCCCATTCCAACCGAACTGGTTGGAACGGGGCGAGAAACCCACCCCTGATTAAGACGCATACGCAATTGGGTGTGCTCACACAATATATTCATATAAAATCACAGTCCATAGTTGTAAAATCACATTGGCTGGTTCACATAGACTGTAAGCCATAGGAGAGTAGTAAACCAGATCTCATCTTAGTATATGCTCGTGAATCAAGCTGGTGAGTTTCACACAGGCCCTGCTGAACACATTGATATGTAGAAAGTCAAGCAATAGCACTTAGACTTATATACCACTTCACAGTGCTTTTACAGCCCTCTCTAAGCAAGTTTACAGAGTCAGCCTCTTGCCCCCAACAATCTGGATCCTCATTTTATCCACCTTGAGCCTGGTGAAATTTGAACTGCCAAATTGCAGGCAGCCGGCAGGCAGCAGAAGTAGCCTGCAGTACTGCACTCTAACCACTGCGCCACCTTATGATTCCTATAATGACAAGTCAGATTCCTTTGGGGTGCTCATGGGTAGGACTTGGTTTCAACCATCTCTCCTGCTGTTGATCCCTAATCAGAGATCTACCATTTCTGAAAAATAAACTTTGCTCTTGTCTCTTTCTGCCTGCAAGGAAGACGGTCTTGGGTGAGCTGTCCAGATTTCTGATAACATATCAGTAAAGAAAAGTCTTCTTGGCAGTTCTCCCAGGAATTGGAAATGAGGGAGTCGAGATTATGCCTGCTTTTTCTTAACCCACTGCTGTTCCATCTCTTCTATAAGAAGAGCTGAATTATTGGCACACTATTGTTCTTCCTTCACATAATGTTCCATCTGCTAAGAGCAGGATTTCTCAACCTGGGCCACTAAGATGTAGGATCTGCAATTCTCTGGCAGCTGCTATCCACACATCTTGAAGTGGTCCAGGGCTGACAACCTGGTCTAGAATGCAGAACATGTGACAAACCAAAGTCCCACTGTAACTAAGGAATTGGTTTCCCCAACAAGCAAGCTAGAAAAATGGTCTTGTTGGTATACAACAAGATAAAATTCTCTTAGTTAAGATTGATTGTAAGAATCCAGGATACCTATTCTTCTAGGAATCTAAATATTTGAAGACATCAGGATTTTGACTTGCCTACCCCTCACCTTTACAAGACTGGCACTAAAAGAATGTCATTTGTCCCTTGTTAGTCAAACCACCTAGAGAAATTCCTTGTGACTAGGAAAGGAAGTTCCTTGACTCCACCCAGATTTTAATCTATAAATTTTTTAAAATTTAGTTTTTGATGGAAAAGGCATCTCCAAGCCACAGGCTTTGTTTGGGGAAAAAAAGATGCCGTTGCAAAGAAAATACTGAAAATGATCAGAGGTTATATGTCCACTGCTGAGATTTGTGTGATGCGGCGATCTGAATCCATTTCGTAACGATAGCGGTACTCCTCCATCAGGTTCTGGCAAGCATCCCGTAGACCATTCATCCAGGTCTTGATGCCCTCACGATTCAGGTAAAGCACAAAGAGGAAGATGATGCCAATTATCCCCAGAACTATACCCAATGCGGCGTATGAGGACTGAAGAACATTTTCACTATGTTGACTGTAGTGGCACTCCAGATCTGCACCCACTAGTTCCACCAAGGAGGTGTTCTTCAGAGCCTGGGGGAAAATGCAGGCTAGTTTTTCCACATCTACTACTTGTCGGCTTTGGTTCAGCCAGTTGACCAGTTCTTCAATGTCACAATTGCATACAAAAGGGTTGTCTTTCAGAAAGAGGCTAAGGTGGGACTGTCTCCCCAGGGCAAACAAAGCTTCACCCCTCAAAGTTTTGAAGGCATTTGAGGTCAAATCAAGGTACTTAAGGTGAAGTCCAGAAAAGGTAGAGTTCTTGATATCTATCAAGGAATTGTTCCTCAAGTCTAAGTACTCAAGTTTAGGGAGGCTGGACAACATCCCAAGGGGCAAGTAGATGATCTTGTTGCTGGTGAGTTCAAGCTTGGAGAGATTCTGGAAGCCCCCTTGGACAAGGGCAGTTGCCACCGGGCGGATGGCAGAGAAGTTGTACAGGGAGTGACTGAGATTCAGCTCCTGGATTGAATTGTTCCTAGCACTGAAAGCATCAGGGTGGATGGTGACTAAGTGATTATAACTCAGGTCTAAGTAGCGCAGGCTCTGGAGGTTAGAGAAGGCGTGGGACTCCACCGCATTAATCCTGGAAGGTGAAAAGGAACAACACTGGCATCATTCAAGAATAACCTCATCTGGAAATGGGAGAGAAGGAAGAAAGAGGAAAGGAGAGGAAGGAGGGAAGGGACAGAAAGAGAAGGAGATAGGCAGTGGTGGGATTCAGCCAGTTCGCACCTATTCGGGAGAACCGGTTTTTAACTTTCTAAGAGGTTCAGAGAACTGGTTGTTGGAAGAAAACTTTTTTGGGTTTTTTTCCGCTTTACAGNATAGGAGCCAGTCGTGTGTAGCAGCTGCCAAAAAAGCCAACACAGTTCTAGGCTACATAAACAGAGGGAGAGAATCAAGATCACGTGAAGGGTTAATACCACTTTATAAGGCGTTGGTGAGGCCACACTTGGAATACGGCATCCAGTTTTGGTTGCCATGATTTAAAAAGGATGTGGAGACTCTAGAAAGTGCAGGGAAGAGCAAGAAAGAGGATTAGGGGACTGGTGACTTAAACAGATGAAGAACGGTTGCGGGAACTGGGTATGTCTAGTTTAATAGAAAGAAGAAATAGGGGAGACATGATACCAGTCTTCCAATATCTCAGGGGCTGCCCCAAAGTAGAGGCAGTCAAGGTATTTTCCAAAGCACCTGAGGGTAGAACAAGAAGCAATGGGTGGAAACTAATCAAGGAGAGAAGCAACTTAGAACTAAGGAGAACTTTCCTGACAGTCGGAACAATTAATCAGTGGTACAACTTTCCTCCAGAAGTTGTGAATGCTCCAACATTGGCAGTTTTTAAGAAGATGCTGGATAGCTATTTGTCTGAAGTGGTGTAGGGTTTCCTGCCTAGGCAGGGGGGTCGGACTAGAAGACCTCTAAGGTCCCTTCCATCTGTTATTCTATTCTATTCATAATTCTCCATGCTGGTTGGGGAATTCTGGAGCTGAATTCCGCAAATCTTAAAAGTTGCCAAGGTTGGACTCCCTGTTTAAGAGTAACATATTTCATCAAAAGCCATCTGCTTTTTTGAGTAGATTTTTCATTTTATTTTGATTCGAACAGCATATTCCATTAAACAGTGTATCGTCTGGGTACAAATATTTTGTGCAAATATTTTATACAGTCACAATTACAATGTACAGCCATATTTATTATTTTATCTATTCTTAACTTTACACTAATACTAATATATACCGTACCTAATACCATAACAATCTTCTTAACTTGTTTAACTTTGTTAAAACCTTTTCTCTATTTCACTCCTCTGCTTTTTTCCACATTTTCCACATTTATTATCTACCCACTGATAGTTCCCATATGTTCTAATAATCAGATTGTTCCTTCTCTTTAATAATTTCAAGTGTTGCCCTATTCATTTCTGCACATTCTTTTATTTTCCTAATCACATTCTCATCCATAGGATTTCCAATTTGCTGCAAATACAGTCCTACCCATCTGCTTTTGATTAAGCAACCTGCAGCTCACAAAAATTTATGCCTTTTAATAACATTTGTTAGTTGAATTTTTTGGCTGCGAGACTCATTCTGGTTGGTTAATGAGACCACAAAGGCAAGCCAATATTTATTTGTGTTATACAGTTATACATAAATATAACGCATCCAATGGAGACATTTGAAGAGGGGAAACCATAAAACTAAAATAACTCTTTGGATCAGACCAATCACAAATTTGATTGAGAGTTGCATCCCCCAACAGTGGTAAGTTGCCTCCTTTGGAGTTCCTTCCCCACCCCATCTACTGACATTTAAGGGTACACTGCTACGGACTAGGGAGGTTTGACGTTGAGACTTTGGAAAAAGTTCAGAGAAGAGTAACTAAGATGATCAAAGGCCCGGAGGCTAAAATATACGAACGGCTACAGGATTTGGGTTTGGCTAGTCAAAAGAACTGGACTGCAAAAGGATTGGACTGCAAGGTGATCCAACCGGTCAGTCCTAGAGGAGATCAATCCCGACTGCTCCTTAGAAAGCCAGATCCTGAAGAGGAAACTCAAATGCTTTGGCCACCAGTTGAGAAGGAAGGACTCCCTGGAGAAGAACCTGGGAAAGATGGAGGGCAAAAGAAGAAGAAGGGGACGGCAGAGAGCTGGATGGAGTCACCGAAGAAGTTGGCATGAGCTTAAATGGACTCCAGAGGATNCCCGCTGCTGCCAGAACCACGTCTTCAATTTTAAATTTTAAAATAAGTTGTCGGACAGGAAGGACGTGAAGAGGCCTTGAAACGCTTTTGAATCCGCCTCTTTAAAAAAAAATGATATGAAATCTGAAGTGAAGCTAAGATTAAACAAGGCCTAAATTTTTAGCCTTCCAGCCTCAGTTTCCCAGCCTGTAAAACATAAGTTTGGAAAAACCCTCCTACAAAGGCAGATATTGCACGAGGAAATGAAATAATAATTGCTGAGTCTTCGGAAGAATATTACTAGCGGACGGAAAGGAATAGGATAGCAGCTAATATGCTGGATACGGTTAACCACGAAGGCCCTACACAGGATTCCTGCAGTTGAACCTAATCCAGTTCGGGATTAGGATGGGGGGATCGAATTTTCCCCCTCCTTCCAAGCGAAACAAACGGATCTCTACAATGGCGCCGGGGTGGGGTGGGGGGTGATATCAGACGCCCCTTACTCACCTTTCTTTGAAATAACCTCTTCCCCCCCACGACTGTCCGGTCTGAAGTTTAGGAGAAGACCCGTTCCAAATTTGGCTCGATGGTTGAAATGGACCGACTCTACGGAAAGCCTGTAAGGGATTCCTCGATCCAGAAGCTCTCGGGGTCGCTCAGGATTTGCCAGCAACCTCGGGAAGCGGGGAGAAACGCGTGATTAAGAGGCTGTCCGGCCCCCCAGATTCTGTGCGTAGATTCTCGGTTGCTCGCGGCGTTTAGCTGAGCCGACTCGGTCTCTTTGTGGTCCAGGGGGTTGCAGTCACCCCAAAAGACCTCGACTCGGCCCGCCCCAAAACTGCATCCGGCTTTGGTCGCCGCATTACCAAAAAAAGTCGAGTTTTTTTGGGGGGGAGGGGGAATGCGGAGAAGAGCAACAAAGACTATTAAAGCCCTGGCGATTAAAACATACGAAGAAGTTTGCAGGATTTGGCTAGTCTAGACAAAAGAAGGACTAGGGGGGACATGAAAGCAGTATTTCCAGTATTTGAGGGGCTGACACAAAGAGGAGGGGGGGGGAATTGATTTTCCAAAGCCCCAGAAGGCAAGGCAAGAAACAAGGGAGGAAACTAATCGAGGAGAGAATCAACCACCTGGAATGAAGGAGAGAAACTTCCGAACAGTGAGGACGATTAATCAGTGGAACAACTTGCCTCCAGAAATTGTGGATGCTCCATCACTGGAGGTTTTTAGGAAGAGACTGGACAAGCACTTGTCTGAAACGGCATAAGGTTTCCTGCTAGAGAGGGGGGCTGGACTAGAAGACCTTCAAAGTCCCTTCCAGCTCGATTCTGATCTTAGTTCAGCTGTTCCCCAGATCTTTGGTAACGCAATATCCTCTTAAAGCTTCATTCGGACAACGGGCAACTTGTATGAATCTCAGAGACCTTGATACAATGGCCTTCCTAGGGAGCGAATTATTATAATTACACAGGACCCTTAAAATAAATAAATGTGCCCAGCTTTGGGCTATTAGTTATTAGTAAAAGGAGTAAATTGTCATTGGAAATTCACTGTCGCAAAAAAACTTTTAGCCGAAGCGAGAAGGGAGGGGGGGGGTGAGGACAGGCAGAAAGTAACGTGCAGATATTTGAAAGCCACAATTCCAAAACTGATTTGCTGTTTTGGGCAATGCAGGAAGTCCTCGGCTTACAACTTTTCACTGAATGTACTTCCTAAGTACTTTCACCGAGCCGGGCGAGGGGGCTTTAAGATCCAAAAATATTGCCAGCTGGTAGAGTATAAAAGGGATTTTTAACAAAGCTGAACAAGGTTCTTAGGCCTGGCTCTCTTCTCAACCACGAATTAAAAGTCAGAGCGGGACGTCGGAGTGAGATTCGCCCCCTTTTCGTCCGGCGAGGAAGGGGCAATTGGTAACACATACATACCCCCCCCCCGCGCCGCCATATTTTTGCTGGACTGCTTTCTTTTCTCCCACTGGAGAGTTAAACTTTCTTAAAATATCTTCCCAGCCCTGGCAGAATTCTCGGGGGCCGGCCTGTTTGGCATCCCCCCCCCCAAAGAGTCCGAAGGCCCGCTCCGAAGTTTAATAGGGGGTGGGAGACACGCGCGGGTCCGAAACTTTGCAAATGAAGCAACGTTAACCGCTAAGCCGCTAAGTCATTGAACCCGGGGGGCTCCGCCCGAAATTCGCCACCCGTGGGGTGCGTGGGAGGGCGAAACTGGCGCGAAACCCAGCTTCGCCCTCCTTCAGGGCCTTGGAGAGAAGGAGAAAGCGATTTTCAGGATGCACAAATTGTACACGCCGCACTCATGGAGGCGTGTGTGACACGCACACGCGCTCCTACCACTTACTAGATAATCGAAAGGGCCTTTGGAAACCTAGGATGAAAAACAAACTTTTTTTTCCTCTTTTCAATAGGAAAAAAAAACCAAGATTAGATCCATCCATCAATCACGGTGGTTGATTTCGGAGTTGGAGTTGTGGAACGCCGGTTCTTCTTTCTAAAAACCGCCCTTCCAAAATCTGGATTTCAAGCGAGACGGTACGGCTTTTCCTGCGCCGCCTCCCCCCCCCCACACACACCATTTCCACGCGCGATCCCTCATCCCGCGGCCTCAAAACTCTTCCCCGGCGGCGAACCAACCGGTCCTTAACCGCAGGCCTCCAGCGGCCTGAACTCCAAAACGAGAGAATAAGGTCAAGAGAATCGTTTCCCTCTGGGAGGCAGGCCGGGATTCCGTGGGCCCGGGCCATAAAAGAGGGGAAAGAGAAAAAAAATTGTGGAAAAGAGAAAGAAAGGAAGAAAGAAAGAAAGAAAGAAAGGAAGGAAGGAAGGAAGGAAGGAAGGAAGGAAGGAAAGAAAAAGAGAAGGAAGGTAGGAAG